CCGATATCAGCGCAATTACTGAACGGAACGGCACGCCATCGACCAGACACGACTATCACGGATCATATTAAAAATAAGACCTCATGTGGGACTGACGAAAACACCAGAGACGATTGACAATCATTGGTACGAAAGGCAGCTTAAGGAACGCAATCAAAAAGTTACACCACTACAGAGCTCTCGGGCGGAACACAAAACATTGAAAACAAGTGAAAAAAGCAGGCGGTTTTAAAATGGCAAAGTCTAGGTAGTTAGAACCTCTTCACACGTAACTGCTGAGCGACTTCAAGTATTTGTAAAAAATAAAGCAGTTGTGGGGCGCTTTCGTCCTTTCAAAGCGTAAGAAGGCAAGCGCAGCTCCCAAGTAGGTAGTTGGGAAGGGGTCTTAAAGACGCACAGCCTGAAGAAAAAGCAATAAGTTAAACCGGTTACTTACAAAGCCAATGTCATCTTTTCTTAAACCCGTATTTTTTCCGTTCATAGAACAAATCCGTTTTAGCGCTGCCTAGATTGACAATTTTGGGACAACCATCTCGCTAAATTTGCATGAGCCAAAAAGAGGAAGGTACATCTTTTTCCATGATAGTGCACTGTCTACAGTAGTAAGCATCCGAGACTCCAGGACCACCACAAATGACACAACGGCCTTGATAGGAACCATAATTACATTCGTCACATATTCTAACGAGTGTGCACGGACGAACATAAGAGTCACATATCACGCATTTTCCGTCACACTTTTCACAAAGACGGCCAATAGCTGGAGGAAATAACAAAATATTAGCAGCCACTTACAAACGCCAGGTTGTTTCCGACAGAAGATAAGATCGGGATGGTGCTTTGCCATGATTATTTGGGCTTCCGAGGAAGAGTTGCTTAAATGTGACTAGTTTGTTTTCCAAGGTCAAGAACAAACGAGACCCAAGTTACTCATGGAGGAGATGTATTGTATTATTCTACATGTTTTATCATGTGTGCCTCTGTGTAAATTAATAACATTTGAGGGAAACTTATTACAATCCGTGCGAAAATGAAGCATAAATAAGGGAAAATTGCGTTCGATAATTCGGAATAAAAAGCGCAAAAGTATCACCAGAATTTTATGGACGGGTGATTCACCGAATGTATTCATATGTTCCTTCTACAATTTTCCATTTCAGGTTGCTACCTCTGGTAACTGAATTTGTTTATATCTCAGCTTTGGCGGAGGGATTGGTCTAACCTGAAAAGTCCCATGTGTCCGGTGGCTGCAAAGTAGTGTTTTCCACGGATCAGTTTACTATCCTCTCTTAATGAAACTTAAATAACCACATTTCCGCCACCTTTCCCAACGCGCAAATGTGGTGCGGTGGGACTTCTCTGGCGTGACTGCTAACTGATCTGAGA